ACTCGTTTTTGCGGCCGCGAAAGTGGTGTAGTTGTTGCCTCAGCGGACCTGACTACCTGCTCACGAAGGGAGAGGAAAATCTCAACTGAACGCGGACGCTGCCTTTAATGTATAAATGCTCACATTACCGGTTAGCCCTCTTCAGGTAATAGGCGAATACTTGGGTTCAAAAAAGTATGACAGAACTTTCCCGCCAACCTAATAGTTATGTGGGTGCCATCCATTTGTCGATCTGATTGTCGAGGAACGGCGGTACACACCGACAATGTCGGTTTTGTTCTCTGTATAGAGCCGCTTGAAAGCCACAGTGCAGAAATCTGTTGTCATAATGATTATCCGCATGGGACCACATTTCCTGATGACAGAACTTGGGCTGCTTCTCATCTGCATCGGTACAAGATTGACGCCTGGAGTTTCGATTCGGAGTCAGGAAAATGAAGTTTCCCAGACACACGCCCTTTTGGCCATCCTCACCTGACCATTTTCGGACATAACTCGGACAACGGTTGCAGAATGTCAGCCTCGCGGGTAAGCTCGATAAGGGTCCAGTCTCTGGAATCAGACATTCGACGCTGGACTTCATCCACTCGCTTCTCTTGTGCAGCACATAATAGAGCCCTCCATGACCACTACTTTGTTCCGTTCTTCCTTTTTTGGACTTCTGGACGACATCTTCAAACTTCGGAACATCTTTGTACTCAGCTATCGGTTCGACACTGGATGAATTCGAGCAGCTCTCTTTCCCTGTATGGCGCCGCCCTTTTCGAAAATCCGGCAGTGATTGTGACCACTCTGGTTTCTTTTCAATTTCTCTAGTTTTCTTCTGTGGGTATCCTAGGTAGAATTTACACATACATAGCTAAAGGTAGAAGCCTAAAGCCATAACTTCTTTGCTTTCCTGCTATTCCTCTATATGTGTAAACACTTTTGAATGGGATGACCTAATAGTTTTCCGGAAAAACTGGTCAATTGAAAGTGTTCAGGCAGCACTGAAAGTCGAAGCCATCCGAAAACATGGAGTCCTCAAGCTGGAAGCAATGGTAAAGCATCACACAAACTCCTCAAAAAAGTGGAATCACTTTTTTTCTGGGTGAACTGCTCACCTGTCGATATGCTTAGTAATAACGCCTAATATTCTATTTAGATCTTTAACATTGTCACCACTGATTGTCAAGTAGTTATTACTGTTCGTTCCACTGAGTACTTTCACTACTACGATCACTGCCTTATTAGTGTTCGGTTTCGTGCTGAGCGCAAACGCGAGAATCTTTCGTGGAGCGATCTCTGCATTCTTGCGTGAAGCGCCATCAGCACTATCGCCTGCACACACTAGACCTCATGCGATGCACCGTCCCATACTGCCCGTCCCGACTTTTTCAACGTTTTTAGTGAGAGAACTTATCGCACTCTCAAAAGAATAGCTGGGCCTCATGCACACGGTGGCTGAAAAGTTCACGCCACCTTCTCCATATTTTGTCCTGCTTTCAAACCAAGCTCGCAGTTCCATCGTAAATACTGTCTTGTAGCATCGTACTTTCTGTGAGCGTGTTAATTTTTATTTTCTTGTTGTTGTGCGACCGTTTGTGAACCGTGAAAGCGATCGCGTAAAGCTTGAGTAGAGGAACTTCGCCACTTCATTGAAAACTTTAAAGTGACCAGAAAATCGCCATTCAGTAGAAAACAGCGACTGATTGCCCTAACCCCTCCACCTTGGGTGATCACTTTCTGACTAACTGCCGCAAAGCTACCCATTGCAAATTACACTACCATGCCCCAGCGATGAGCCTTTGAATAAAGGAGTGAGAGGATATCGCACATAGACGACTCACTAAAGGTCAAAGTATGCAGATATTCAGTTCATCATAGCTACTTTTTCTTAGATTCTGCGACGTCTCAAGGGTTATCCATTCGTTCCATGTCTTTTGGACTCAGGAAAGAAAGCCACGTACTCGTATATAATTCTCACTTTACTTGGACCAAGTCTCAACAAGATATTGAAGTGAATCTTTGAGTATTCGGCATTGCTTCCCAGCCGGAACCTCAGGAACTACTATTTCAGGTTCTATGGAAAAGTGTGTAGTGTCTCCACTCAAGTAAGAATAGGAATTAACACGCTGTACGCTATCAAACAACTTCATGACGTAGGTTTCCGCTTCGATTCGATCGCTCTCGGTAATTTTGATAACAAAAGAAGAACATTCCAGATTGGTTTCATACATCGCGACTTGAAGCCAGGAAACCTAGCAGTTGGTCCCATAGGCACACCACAGTTCCGGCTGATACACATGCTTGACTTCGGTCTGGCACGGCAGTACGTTATTACCTCGGAAGGAGGACGACCAAAAATGCGAAGACCTCGTCCACGTGTACACTTCAGGTTGGAATTTCTGTCTGCGATCCAGTACACAGCATCGTGGTGTGTGAAATGACGGTGTCAGTACTCCCCCCTCTAATTTCCTCTCTTGGTACGACACCCATAACGTCCCATCGCTCTAGTAGGGTGAACCCTTGCTCGACGACTGGCACTAGATAGATCCAGACCCATAGTCTAGCTAACTAGTCGACTTGGCAGAGCAGAGAGTCGAGAGAGTAGACGAGCCACAGCACAATGGACTGGGACGTGCTGCGGAAACGGGTAGACAAGGAGATCGTAATATACCGCCCTGGTGAGCATGGCGAGCGACGTTGCGTTCGACAGACGAGCTGCACTACCTGGCTGTTTGAATATAAGTGTGGAAGGAGTTGGGAAACAGTATCGTCCGCCACGGAATCTTGCCTCTGCTTGAATTTATGAGTTCCACTGCTTCAGTCGGTAAACTGATGCACACCGAGAATCCGCACGGTATGCCGCGCGCGCGGCGACGCGAAAAATCACGATTCTCTTGACCATCTCTCCTCCAAAGCGTTGATGTTCATGCTGTGTGTGAGGACATGCTATGAAATAGCATGAAGTCTCGTGAGTGACACGTGGTGGACGTAGGAGGGGGAGGAGCGCTTGGAACTCGTCCTCACAAAATGCAGTCGTCACTCCCTTTTGGGTGAAGGAACTAGTTAGCCAGAGGAGGTGGCTTACCGTCAGCTGCCTTTGTTCAGACAAAATTATTATCTTTCCAGTAAACTCTTATCTTAATCAGGACGCCATCTCTCTGAAATCCCGAAAAACGTCTCCAAGAACTGGAAACAAGGCGTTGAAAAAGTGCGTGACGAAAGGGGAGGCGGTCAAGACAATTGTAATCTACCACTCACTCGTGCGCGGCGAAAGCGCGACGTTTTCATAATTTGCTTTAGCTTGTCTATTGAAGTACCAAATATCATGAAGACTGCGACACCAATATTTAAGGCTAGATCTGCTTGTACATTGTCTATTGTCGTCATCCATGACCCGGAAACATCGACACTTACGGGCGACGTCGCACGCGACGCCTACCATCGCTAACTTACGATAGTCTTGTCACATACCTTGTCGCAAGGCACAATTTTTTCAAAATTAACGTGGAATGAATCACTCTGATGTCGTGACCTCTCCTAATAGACATGCGAACTACAGTGGGCTAGTGCCCCCATAATAATGCATCAATTAAAGGGGTACTCTCCGGTACTGCTCGATAAACTGCCACGAAAAAGGAGAACAAGGACGTGATGATGACTTGTGGTGCTTTTTGTATATGTTGGCCGAGTTACGTGGACCATTGCCATGGGCAGCTATAAGGTAAGTGATGGTATTGCCGGTGCACCTTTCGTGGACCTCATAATAAAGTTGGCAGGCAGATGCGAACTGATAGACTCAGGCTTTTGCATTTCCCCTATTTTTGGAAACACTGTCAGTTGATTTTTCGGGAGCTCAGCGGAATTAAGATCTCTCCCTCAGGACTCTAAAAGAGCCCTCTTTTACCAGTTGATTCGCAGCATATGACCATAAGCCAGAGATGCAGTAACACTACGAGTAACTCACTAGGCGAACCATGGACAAAAAAAGAAAGGACGGAAAACGAGCAAGGCGCAGGCACACTCCCACACAGATGTTGTTCAGCTCTGGCCATGAGTAGCTTCGGCAATTGGTAGGTGGGATTGGCATGCCAAAGGACGCTTCAGTGCCCTCGTCTCTCATTGTCGATTTTTCATAGGTGTTTTCCGATTGCGGACAGGAGCCCTTGCGAAGCGGAGCGAGGAATTTTCTTCAACGCTCAGTGTGTCTCTAAACACATCGGTTAAGACTGCCCGGCGAAAAGCAAAGAGGGACTTTGTTGGCGTACCATCACCTTGATGCCCTCTTCACCGCCATGAAAGGAAAGCGAACAGAGCGAAAATGAACTGCATAGCGAATACCTCAAAAATTCAAGGAATTTAATCACATGGAAAACCTTGAGACGATTTTAGGCAGCGTTCAGACTTCGCGATGACGCGCTGTAACGCGCTAATTTGCAACAGCGCTCTTATCCTATAGAGGCGAACGCAGCCGTAGTTGGGAATCGACTGGCGCCGCTTGCGTAATGAGGGAGTATTGGGGAACAGGAGTGTAAACGTAGTCTAAGCACGCAGTCCAGTATCGATCGGCGCTGGCCGTTAGAACGGCCGCGTTACAGCGCGTTGATGCGCGTCATCGCGAAGTCTCAACGCTGCCCCGGGCGAGCAGACCAATAGAGACAACAGTAATTCAAAATTCTCCCAGTTTTTTTGGACAACTATTAATATATCCGTAGCGGGAGCTCGTTAGTCAGATGATCTCGACGGCTTCCTACGCACTTGGTACGAACGGCCGGCTGCATTTTTTATCTGGCCTAGGGGAACGAGATGGAAATAATAAAATGGATAAAAGGCAAAAAATAAGCACAAAAGTAGGAGTTTTTGAATGGATACTTGCACAGCCTTTGCCATCTCAGCATGTGGACTTACGGAAAAGAGCAGAGATACTGAGATTCAGTAGGTGGAAATATTTCGAGGAATAGAGCCAGATTCCTGTCACAAGAAAGTCTTCTCAGGGAAGGACCGGATGTCCTTGTGGCGAAGAGAACAGTTGCTTTGGAGGAATTGCTAAAAAATTGCCCCGTGGAGCTTATCGACATCGCACAACATCTTATGTGAGAACAATCAGCTATTGAACCTCATGGACCTCATTTTTCCCCGTGCTGTGTTTAAATTTTAGTATTTTCAGGACACTTAATTACTACTCACGCCCTAACTATGCTTTAATTTATGATCTACTAATTCAGGTTATGCATGCTGGGAATTTCAAGTAGGTTTCTGCCGAAGGTTTTCTGACTCAGAAAATCTAACAGAAGCCTTTTTTTAGACGCACACTCGAGGCTCCACTCCTAGAAATTCTATTGATAGGCGCTGTAATGGAATCTTCTTCTTCTTCAGCGTTTGTCCCGCTCTGTAGCGGGGTCCGCTCGTCTTATTTTGTCACGCCACTTCTCCCGATTGAATGCTTGATCGGGATGGGTGCCAACTATCTTTAAGTCCGCATGCAACGTGTCTAACCAGCGCTGCTTGGGCCGCTTTCCGTGAACCCCATTCCTATGAACGGTGTCACAGTTCGCGCGAAGAACATGACCATACTATCGAAGGCGAGCTTGGCGATCTTCTTGGCCATAGGAGCTACAGCTCCGTTGCATACAGACTTGAAAATAGCTGGAATTCACCCCGATCAGGCATTTGATCGGGAAAAGTGGCGTCATCACATTAGAAGAGCGGACCCCGCCGCTGAGCGGGACAAACGCTAAAGAAGAAGAAGAAGAGGAGCTACACCGAATCTCTTCCTTATGTCGTCATTGCGTATGCGATCCATACGCGTGACACCGGCGGTCCATCGCAACATTTTCATCTCCATGACTCCTAGGCGCGCTTCAACTTCTTTGGTCGTAGGCCAGCATTCAGCACCGTATATCGCGACTGGTCGAACG